AGTGCGTGTCCGTGGCGTGTCCCCATGTTTGAGTCCGTGCTTCATGGGTTATAGGATTGTAGTTTTATGGAAGATATGGGAAAGTGCACCCGATTCTTATATATTAAGTTGAAACTACTATTGGTTTTTACAATTGTAAGGAAGGGTAAGACTATTGTGTCCACACAAAAAAAAAAACAAATACGTGAGACAAATATTTGGGGATTGTTATGAGCTTGGAACAGTTTTCGGAGACAATAATTAGGGTGTGGTGTGTTCTTTTAGGTGCCTGGGTTGGATGTTTGTGGAGGGGAAGGCTTTGGGCTCCTAAAAATGGAATTTTAAAGAGGGAGTAGAGATGGAAACAAATTTGATTGGAAGGTCGGAAGGCCAATAAAATACAAAATGTTTAAGTAAACAACAGAAGTTAGACATCATGTTGGATTCTGTTGTTATCACATAAGATTAAAACTGTATCTCACAACACTAAGAGAGCTGTAAAAGCTTCTGACCTTAACTTCTAAGTAATCTTAATAGTGAAAAAAAAAGAAAAAAAAAGAAAAAGAAAGAAAAGAAAAACAAATGTAGGCTTTAGTCCTAACTCTAGTGGAAATGGGAGTCCACATTTTTCCTACAGACCTACTGAAGTTCACAATTAAATGTCATTAATGAAGGTGCAAGTGCAACCCATAGACCACACTATAGGTCATGTTTAGGATATCTTGAAACTGCATACAAAAAAAAAAAGAGAAAAATACTGCTAAAATTAAAGCAAGTTCGAGTAGAAAGATATTGATAGAATATTATATTATGAGAATTGAGAGGTCACTCTCTGAAAAAAAGAAAAAGAAAAAAGAGATGAACTATAGAAACAAGGAAAGAAAGAAAGGAAAAAATAAGTCTATTAAGAGAGGTGACAGTGACCCTCTTACTTTTTTGAAGTGAAAGATCTTGTGTTGTGCCCCTTCAATCTTTAGTTTATCAGCTCTCAAACCAAGCTCCAAATTTTCCCCTTTCTTTAATTTGCTCATTTTTGAACTTCTTATGTGCCACATTTGATTTACTTTGCAGAATAGGATAGATGTGAGTGCAGCTAGAGCAGAGATACAATTTTGTAGAAGAGGCAAAACAAGTTAGTCCTCTAGAAAAACGTTACTATTATGAGCGTGGAAACACTCTCAAATTAATAGTAACAATGGCAGGAGAAGTTAGTCCTCTGGGTAGGAGAAGTACCTCTGCAAATACAAGTATCTCATTAGCCCCAAGAGGAAAAAAAAAATCTTCTAAACGTTGGCATGTTTAGTGAGATGAAGATAATGCAAACTTCCCCTTCCAAGCTTAAAGATCATTAGGTTTTGATTGCCAAGGATATAGTAAGCCTTAAAATTATAAAGAAGCAATGGCAGCTCTTGACTCATTTAAATGGCTAAGGTGAGGGAAGAAGAAATAAACTCAATCAATAAGACTGAAGTGTGGGAATTTACAAATCTTCTTAAAAAGAGAAAATAAATTCAACAAGTTCTCAAGGAAGAAAAAATCTAAAGTCTGGTGGTTCTTTATATAATTACAAGGCCAGGCTTGTAGCAAAAGGCTATATGCAAAAGCTAGGGATAGATTACTCAAATAAAATCTCATATAGTGATAGTAAAGCTTGTAGCCAAATGGATGTGAAGATGCATTCTTGAATAAGAAAAAGGAAAATTTTATATGGAGCAACTATATGAATTTACTAGGGAGGATCAAAGCGTTAATAAAAGAATCAGTGTGTGGTCTCAAACAATTATCTTTCAATGATATCTCACTTTTCACCAAACAATACTAGAAATTAGATACGAGATAATTAAAATGGATAACTGTGTATATATTTGGAAAAGTGTAAGAAAAATATATTACTTAAAAATTATATATTATCATTAGGAAATGATGTGGATATGACTAATTAAACAAAATCTTATCTAGGATCAAAGTTTTAGATGAATTACACGGGTGAAGCAGTATATAGTCACTCTTGTCTTACAAGTCTAAGTAGCTAGGAATCTTCCCTATGGCTCATTTAGGGTAAATGAGCTAAGATTTGCTATGGAATGTGAAACTAGTGTTTACTTACTAGTTGAATGGAAAAAAGAAGGCAAAGGAGGAAAAAGAATCTGTTGCAGGCTTTTGGAGATTTGCTTCTCCATCCAGAGAATGTTGATAGCTTGATTTGGAATGAACAGTGAAGTTAGGAGTCATTTATGGCATACTCAACAATCCTACTAATGCCACGTTGTTTGATGTTTCAAACTTGGGTGATTTGAGTTCTTACTGGAGAATGGAATCCCAGTACTTGATTAGAAGAGTACCCATATGTTCTATATCACGAGATTTTGAATGATTCCCATCCTCCAATTGCTCGCAAAAAGAACCCACCATTATGTAATTTCTTGGCATAATAAGGACATGTGTCATCACAAAACAAATAATGACGTATCTCACGGCTAGTCTCCTCTTCTATAATATTTTCTTTTGTCACAACCCACAAGTAGCCTTTGTAAATCTGCTTGTTACTCTATAATTATGAGTCAAATATGTTGTATATCAATATTAGCATTTGTATTCTCATTATAGCCATAAGTAATAGCTTCCACATAATACCTCATATTAGATGCTTTTCTCTTACTTTACAACATTATCTGTGTGTTTTTTGGACTTGAAAAACTTGATGCTCTTTTGTAAAGAATCTTATAATCTTTGTTTCACTCTTTGTAGGGAATATAGAAGACTGTAAGGAAATCTTTAGAACGTTATATAGTTTTATATACCTCCTAGGTACATATCTGAAGCCACATGTGAGTATTCATTACTTTCAAAGCATTAAAGGTTGAAATGTATAGTTGGCTATTGTTTTCATTTACAATACTTTACTATTCACAATTGTCCATTTAATACGGTCATGTGTAGACATTTTTCCATGAGATCCATGATCTGTAGATGCCTGACATTATGGCCCTATTTGGCAAAGGATTTTTGGCTAAAATAGTCAACCAAGACAAAATAGGCTAAAATAGCCAATGAAACAAAATGTTATATCAAAAACCATAATCATTTCTCTCACATCCATCAAATCAACTACAAAAATAAGCCAACCAACTTCCCACACACAACTTTTTTAACCAGGTTAAAATAGCTAAAAAGCCAACTAAAATATCTAATTTCTCAAACAAGGCCTATATTTACTTTGAAATCGTTGTATATGAATTCCACTCGTTTAATCTTTACTACCTTTTATATGCATCACTTTGGTCGAACAACAACACTTGTGCAATCATGCAATCGCTTTTCATCTCACCAAATTGGAGACCCCGTCGTTCCCTTAATATATGATTACAGGGTTCATGTGAATTTGTGGTCTTTCCCCTTGTTCGGTAGACAAAGTGCATGGGTGGGAGCAAGACTTGATGGAGACGAGAGAACTATAGAATGGGCTTCCAGAGTTCCGAGGGTCTTGATGAGGGTAGAGTGATTGATATGTGGGAGCATACTATTTGTTCCATCTTTGCCTCTCTCGAATTGATTGGTCGTGTTTTGTGACAAACAATGAATATTTCGCGATCCAAATGGTTCTATTAGGCTAGTGGACTCAACTAGAGAACATAAGAGAGGTATAAATTAAATTGATGGGGCTGCCGATTGACTTATGGGATGGGGAAGTGCTTAGGGCTTTGCAAGCTTGTTGTGAGGGGCCTAAATCGTAGTGGACGAAGGCACAACGAAGAGGGTCCATCTCTGGTGGGCTCTAGTGTTCGTTATAGACAACATCCATTTGAATTTAGTGCACGGCTAATGACATTCCAAATTTGGTTTGGGCTCAAGTAGGGTCGAGAATAGCTTGTTGGTTGAAGAAATCGTTGATTAGCTGTCAGAATGGAGAGAGACGGTGGAGCATGGGAAGGATGCTATGGAGTTGCGTGCGGAGGTATTGGTTTTCAAAAGTGGATAGCTGGTGTTGGTAGGAATGTGGTGGACATTGTGCCATGTCACCAGTCTGAGGCGAGTCAGTTCAAGGTGTTAAGTTATCAATTTTCCTAAAAACCTAAGCTGTTAGGAAATTTGCCTAACAATGTATATCAAGCTATCTAACACCCTCCCTCACGTGCAACCCTGTCTTGCATGTGGAGAGACAAACAGAGAACCAAATAGAAGGATAAGCAAACAAACGGGGACGCAATACCAAATGCTAACGAATAGACTTGAACCTAAGACCTCTCTTAATCAAAGCTCTGATACCAATTTTTGCAAAAGATCTAGAAACAACTGTCTGCTTCTTACTCTTCCATGATATAAGATGATCACTATAGAAAGTACAGAAGCCAGAAGTAGAACGTCGATTAGTTTTGAATCCTACATAGTCAGCATCAGTGAAACAAGAGAGCTCAGATTGGGAGCGGCTGTAAAAGAATTATCCCAAGTCAGGAGAGGTCTTCAAATATCTCAAAATGTGATGAACCACATCAAGATGTTCTGTACAAGGTGCATGCATGAATTGACTAACAACACTGACCGCAAATGTCAAGTTAGGTCTAGCGTTGGTCAAATAAATTAGATGTTGAACAAGACGCTGATAGATGCCGGAGTCCTTTAACAACTAGCCAGACTCTAATGTGAGCTTGACATTGGGATCCATAGGAGTAGAAATAGGTTTACTAGTATCCTGAAGTAGGTCAAGAGTGTACTTCCTTTGAGATAAAGATCACTCTTGTCTATTTTTGCTGTGAAATTTTTGTTTTTTTGAGCTAGTTCTGTGTCTATATTGGTGATTGATTATTATGGTTGAGATTGAGGTTAAGGCTAACTACGGGTAAGGATGAAGACATGCCTAAATCTATCACTACCAAGAAATTGAATGGTGCCAATTATTTGGCTTGGGCCCACACCGTCAAGATTTTCTTACGTGGTGAGAAGAAGTCCCGCTTCATTAGCGAACTCCCGCTCCTACTGATGATCCAGCTTATGATGATTGGTGTAGTGAGGATTCTTGTATTATGGGTTGGATTTGGCATAGTTTAGAACCACATGTTGCGACTACCGTGGAATTTTGTGATACCTCTAAGGAAATTTGGGACTCCCTTGCTGACTCATTTTCGAATCAGAGTAATGTCTCTCGGGTCTATGAGCTATATGAGCAGATCTTTGCTATACGCCAATTTGGCCGGTCCCTTCTTGATTATTATAGTAGTCTCAAGACTTTGTGGGATCAGTTATTGCAGCATCGACCCTTAACTACTGATGTGAACAAACAGAAGCAACACTGGGAGGAGTTCATGATGGCTTCTTTACTCTCTGGCTTAGATCCTAAATTGCGGGGATTCAAGGATCAGATTCTTGCCAGTGAGACTTTACCTTCTGCTGCTAATGCCTATTCTTAGCTGTTACGTCCTTCTTTGGAACAGGCACAATCTACCTCCAGGTCCTCTATCTTGTCATCTTCTACATTAGTCTTGAGTAGTGTTGATCGTAGGTCTACTCGAGGGGGTTTTCTTGGCACATCTGGTCAACGGGGCTCTTATTCTGGTTCACGGGGTTCTCGTGGGGCTGGTTCCTGTGGTGGTGGCTCCCGTGGTGGTTTCAGGGGTGGATGTAGTAGTGGACCTAGTTCTCGCACACATGGTGATCGCAAGTGTACTCATTGTGGTTCCCAAGGTCATACTAAACCTTGGTGTTGGAAGAAATATGGCAAATCTGATCATGTCCATCATGTTATGGATGTCCCATCCTCACAATCTTCCTTGTTGTCCACTGGCTCGAATGCTTCTCCGGTTAATTCTCATGAGACACTCACTACTCAGATTAGTGAGCTTACTGCTCTTGTCCAGTCTTTCCGGCCTAGTCTACCTTCATCCTCTA